GGCGGGGGCGTGGGAGGCAGTTCCGGGGTGTCCCCGTCGCCCTCGCTCAGGGAGAGCGGGGCTGGGGGGGCCGGGTTAGGCCCCGCCGCCTAGTGAGACTGGGATCCCACCACCCCTTTTCTTCCGGGGGTCGCTGCCATTGGTGGGGGGCTGAGAGGAGAAGAAGCTTTTGGTGGGGTCCCGTAAGCTGGCGGTGGGGAAAAGCGAGGTGACAGACAAAGTTCAGGTGGTGTTTTGGAGCTTCTCGGAAACCCTCGGTTTCCGTGCTCCTGCCTGATGCTCGCAAAGCTGCCGTCTAGGAGGACGGCAGAGAGCGGCAGGGTCTGTGCTGCTCGCTCAGCATAAGAGCGATGCTCTTATAATAATAAGAGCGATGGCTCTTATTTAAGCACTCGAGTGTTTTGTGTGAGATCAGCAGTCGCAGAGACCACGCAGGCAGCGCTCCTGGATACGACATCACGTGCTTTGGATTTTGCAGTCGGTTGAAGACAACAGTCTTGTTCTGAGTAGAAACCTCCCTCACCCAAAATAATGCTGAAAAATTACTTTCAACTGAATCCAGATTTCAGCCTGGCCTTGAAAGTCTGTGTATCAAAATGAGTGTTGTAACGAGAGTGGTTGTTAATGCTTACGAGCAAGGCCTCTGTCCTGTGCTCCGAGCAGGTGATTAATTTCCCCCTTGAAATTAATGTGTTGCTCTGCAGTTCTGACATGTGGGATCTGTGCAAGGCTAAGACCATTCATACAAAGGGATGTTTTGTGAGGACTTCTTACTTTCAGATAGTAGTACGGCACAAGTATTTTCTGCCTTTGCTTATGACAGAACCTACCCTATGTGATAAAACCTAGTGTTGTATGAGAGTCTACAAAGTTAGCGTGGATGTGCTTGTGAGTAGCAGAAGGGTGTTTGTTTCAATGGTGATATCTTGTCCTGAGCCAAAGCCGTTTTGCTTTTGGAGGATGTTTTCTGCAAAGCCTGAAAATAGTTAATGTTATTAGACTGTGGGTACTGTATTTTTTTTTTTAATGCTCATCTTAAATTGATCTTGAAGGAATCCACTTTTGATAAATCTGTGATTTGTTCCAGTTTTAGATGTCTCAATGGATACATTGAACTTTTTCTACGCTTGTCTGATGTCCTTGTGGCTACACCGATTTTACATCTATTCCTCTGTTACTTTGGGGATCAGTATTTGGATCTGCATTCAATTCTTCACCAGCAAAACCAGAAAGAAGGTAACTGGACATTTAAGGCCTTTTGTCTGAAAAGACCCCCAAAATCCATGTGCAGAAGTGAGTAGTTGCTATGTGAAGATACCCATTGGTGCAATGAAATGTGGTACTTCACCGGCCATCTAGGCTATGCAAATCCCAAATGTAGCTTAGTTCACTTGACAGTCATAATCCTCCATCTGGATTGTATCATGAGTGTGGATGACTAAATATCCTTGTTACTCTGATGTTGGAACAGATCTCAGTTGAAAGCTTCTCACTGTGTTACGAAGGGCATGTGTCAGTCTAGATTGCTCTGCCACTTCTTCAAGTAAATAACTGCTTCTGCCCAGTGTTTTCAGGTTCATGTTTCCGGTGAAGTTCATGACAAGTCTAAAAGGGTTTTGAGATGGGAGTGTGATTAGCCTAGTCAGGATGGTAAAAATTCCTCATGCATGTGAATGAAACGCTTGTGATGGGAGAAGAAAACTCAGGTGGTTCTTCAGGTGACGTCTTCAACACTGCGGTTGTTTTACAGGTTGAAAAATTCAATGGGAATCCAGCTTCTGCTGAAGTAACAGAGGGCAAACTAGTAAATGGATATGCCACCCTGAAGGCAGAGGAAGTCTATGTTGCTGGGGTAAAGATTTTCTATGGGTCTCAGACTGGCACAGCAAAGGTACAGGTTATTTTTGTTCATATGCATAAAGTTAACTCAATACTGTTTAGATTCAAATACATTACTTGCCTTAAAAACACTGTACTGTGTAAAAATCTGAAAGTTCATTGGAAAGTTCACTAGCTCATCAGAAGTTGTTGCCCAACATGAAAGGTTACAAGTGAAACATACGTAAAAGTAACAGTATTTCCCCTTTTTTCATTTAGGTGGGGAATGCATTAGAGACATGGGTTATGAAGTTTAAAATGTGCTGTTGCACATAGTCTTAATCTGCTAGCAGGTCTTTTTTCCTTATAGAGAGAAGGGCTGTTGTTTTAGGTGCTTTGTTATCAAAAAGAAATTTGATTTGTGTGTGCATGTAATTGGACATTAAATTTATGTAACTGTCTTTTTTTTTTATTGAATAAAATACACTGACAGGGAAAAAAAGTGAAGAATTGTACGTGCAGCGTCCAGTTCTCATGTATCATTGTTTTTTTCCCATGCTGTGAGACTTCCTGTAGCTGGTGGGCATAACAGAACTTGTCTGACCCTTAGTGCAGTTAGGTTGAAGTCATTAATAACTTTCTACATTTCTCTCTTCAGAGATTTGCCAAAGGTCTGGCTGAAGCAGTTATTTCCCTTAATTTACCTGCAGAAGTCATTAATATGGGAGACTATGATCCAGATGATAATTTAGTAGAGGAGGTAGGTGCCCTATAAATATGAATAATAAATACAGACTTTTCTTGGGACTGCGAAAGGTCTTTTCCTCTTTTTCCTATATGCCTCCTTTATTATCCTGGAAATCCCCGAAGTTGCTTCTCTTCTGTGTAGGCAAGTATAGCCTGTCAACCCTCAGCAGAAAATACCTGGTTTCTGAAAATTACTGGAAAAGGATTATGTAGAATCTATGATCCTGACACTGATTTGTATGAACTAGTTATTTATCTCATGTCTGAGTTGCTTGAGAATGGCCGCACCAAGTCCTCCAATCTCTTGACAGTATGCCCCTAGGGAAGAGTTCAAAAATAGATCAAGTATATAGTGATAGTTCTACAGCCTTCAACAATTTATAAGTTAGCAGCTTCCCAGGAGGTGTGTTTATATTTAGTTGTACTTGATCAACCTTTTTTTTTTTTGTTTTTTTTGTTCTTGTTCTCTCTCTTCTGTTAATATTGATAGTTGCTTTTTCAAGCTACCAAAGACTTTATCACTGCAGGCATTGCTCAAGAAAGTATTCACTGAGGTAGGGAAGGTGGGTGTCCAGTTCTGTTTTACCATCTTGCCTCCACTTGTCAGAGGAATATAGCTTGAATCCCCCTTGGCCAAATTATAATGGCTTTGAAGGGAGGATAGCCGTTCACCACCACTGGGATTATGACCCACACCATCCTTGTCAAAGGTTCCGAACCCATTTAGCAACAATCATATCTTTTGATTTGTTTTGACTGTCCATGTGTCCTCTTCCTGATGTAAAGCATTCTGTAAAATGCAGTGTTCTTTTCTATTCCCTTTATTGTTATTAGACTTCCAGCAGGAACGTTTGTGTGTTCTTGGTAGCTACATACACAGATGGACAACCAACTGAGAATGCAGCGTGGTTCTGCAAATGGTTAGAAGAGACTGTGAATGACTTCCGGTTTGGCAAAATGTATCTGAAAGGCCTGAGATATGCTGTGTTTGGCTTGGGAAATTCAGTTTATGTTGATCACTACAACACGGTAAGTTTCTCCCATGTACTGTTCTTTATTTTTTGCTCTTCTGAATGGCCCAGCTTTCTTAAATTCTACAAATTGAGCAGTACTGGTAGATTTTTAAGGTTAAGTGGATTCATACTACTACTACGACTACTGTTTTGAGAAAACGCTTTGGCACGTTAATTGGTGCGAAATTTAAGATCTGAGAATTCAGCTCCTACTGTAGCCTTGGTGTGGACTTTAATAGGAATTGGGTTTGGGCTACAGGCAATACAGCTTTGAAGCAGGTGTGTTGGCATTCTAAATTGGAAAGAGAGGAGTCCCATAAACACAGCATTAATCTGGGGGGTTTTAGTAGTGACTATGAGAATACCTTTGGTGAACTTCTCCGTATTAATTTCCAAGCTTTGAAAGCCTTCTGTCAGTGCATGAAGATGTTGTACTGTGAAACCTTTGACTTGCTGCCTTTTAGTTCAGAGCACTTCTTTCTCAGCATTTCATGTACTTTCCTGGATTCTGAGAGTCTTATTTTGACTTCAAGAAAGAAAACTCTTGAAGTGTCTTAGCCTAATGATTAGGATCATCTAATG